GACAATTTGACTTCTTCATTTCCTATCTTTATTCCTTTTATTTCTTTCTCTTGTCTAATTGCCGTGGCTAATGTTTCCAAGACTATATTGAGCTGGAGTGGTGACAGTGGACATCCTTGTCTTGTTCCTGATTTTAGTGTTTAGGATTTCAGTTTTTCAACATTTACTATGATTTTTGCTGTTGGTTTTATATAGATGGCTTTTATCAGATTGAGGTAGAGACCATCTATTCCAATTTTTTTTTCTTTTGTCTTTTTTGGTACCAGGGATCAAACTCGGGACGTTGCGCTTGCAAGGCAGGTGGCAGAACCACTGATAAATCCCCAGCCCCTAATTCCAATTTTTATAGGATTTTTATCATAAATGAGTGTTGGATTTTGCAAAATACTTTTTCTGCATCTATTGAGATGATCATATGGTTTTTGTCCTTGGCTCTATTGATATTGTGTATTACATTGATTGAGTTGCATATGTTGAACCATCCTTGCATCCATGGGATGAATCCCACTTGGTCAGGGTGTATGATCTTCTTGATGATCTTCTGCATTCTGTTTGCCAGTATCTTATTAAGGATTTTTGCATCTATGTTTATTAATGAGATTGGTCTTTAGTTCTCTTTTTCGGTTGGGTCATTCTCTGCTTTGGGGATCAAGGTGATGCTTGCTTCCAGGAATGAATTCAGGAGTATTGCTTCCCTTTCAGGTTCATTGAAGAGTTTAAAAAGTGGTGGCAGTAGTTCCTCTCTAAACGTCTTGTAGAATTCAGCATTGAAGCCATAAGGATCCGGGCTTTTCTAAGTTGGTAAGTTTTTAATTATGTTTTCAATTTCATTGATTGATATTGGGTTTTTGAGAATTTTTAGGTCTTTTTCAACTTTGGTAATTCAAACGTATCTAGGAATCTGTCCATTTCTTCTGTGTTTTCCATCTTATTGGCACATAGTTTCTCAAAGTACGTATTGATGATCCTCTGGATTTCTGCTGGGTCCCTTATAATTTCATCCTTTTCATTCCTACGTGCATGGATTTGGGCCTTTTCTTTCCTTTTTTTGATAAGGTTGGCTAAGGGTTTGTCAATTTTGTTTATTCGTTCAAAGAACCAACTCTTGGCTTCATTGATTTTTTGTATCATTCTCTTAGTCTCCATGCATTGATTTCTGCCCTGATCTTTATAATTTCTTCTCTTGTATGAGCTTTGGGTTTGTCCTGGTCTTCTTTCTCTAGAAGCTTGAGGTTCAGCATCAGGTTGTTTAATTTGGCTCGCTCTGTTTTCCTAATATGAGTATTCACTGCTATGAATTTCCCTCATAAGACTGCTTTCATTGTGTCCCATATATTCTAGCATGTTGTACTATCACTGTCATTTAATTGTAAGACCTGTCTGATTTCTTCAATTTCCTCTGTGCCCCATTGGTTATTCAGAAGTGTGCTGTTCAGTTTCCACATATTTATGAAATTCTTGTGGTTTCTTTTGCTATTGATCTCCAATTTCATTACACTATTGTCTGATAATATACAGGGGATAACTTCAATTACTTTCACTTACTTAAACATGTTCTATGAGTGAGTATGTGGTCTATTTTGGAGAATGACCCACGTGCAGCTGAAAAGAAAGTGTATTCTGATTTTGTGGTGTGGAATACTCTGTAAACATCTGTTAAGTTCATTTGTTCAAGAGTTTGATTGAGTTCTAGTATTTCATTCCTTATTTTTTGTCTAGTTTATCTATGTAATTGTGACAGTGGGGTATTGAGGTCCCCCACTACAATTGTATTAGTGCCTATTTGATTTTTCGTGTCCATTAGTATTTATTTTATGTAGTTGTGCACACTAGTGTTTGGTGCATACATGTTTATGACTGTCATCTCTTCCTGTTGAATTATTGCCTTTACAAGGATGTAGTGTCCTTCTTTGTCTCTCTTAATCAGTGTTGGTTTGAAATCCACTCGATCTGCAAAGAGGATTGCTAGTCCTGCTTTTTTTCAGGTTCCTGTTGCATGGAGTATTGTTTTCCATCCTTTAATTTTCAGTCTATGAGTTTCTTTTTAAATTATGTTGCTTGCATGCAGCATATTATTGGATCTTGCTTCAATAACCGTTTTGCCAGTGTATTTCTTTTGATTGGTGAACTGAAACCATTAATATTGATGCTTTTAACTGATATGTATTGACTTATCTTGTCATGAATTTTTCTTTTCATTGGATTCTCCCCCTTTGCATTTAATTTCTTGTCCCGCCCAACGTATTCATTCTGCTGGTCTTCCTGGGGTTGTGATTCTCATCCTTTCCTAGGATATTGTCTAAAATTTTTTGGAGTGCTGGTTTGGTATTCATGAAGTTCCTAAGGTGCTCTTTGTCATAAAAGTATCTTGTTTCTCCATCAATTTTGAAAGATAATTTTGCAGGGTATATCAATCTGTTTTGGAGGCTGTTTTCCTTTAGGTCTTGAAATATGTCACACCAAGCTCTTGTTGTCTTGAGGGTTTGTGTTGAGAAGTCTGCTGTCATTCTGATGGGCTTTCCTTTGTATGTGAACTGTTTCTTTTCTCTAACTGCTTGTAGAATTTGGTTCTTCTGTTGGATTTCTGGAATCTTAACAGTTATATGGCCATATGTAGATTATTTTGATCAATGCTAGTTGGAGTCATGTATGATTCACTTATCTGTACGTCAAGTTCTTTTCCCCTGCTTGGGAAGTTTTCTGCCATCACTTGTGTGAATAGTTGTTTTATGTCATCTGCCCTCTCTCCTGTTTCTTTATTGACTCCAATCAGTCTTATGTTATTCCTCTGTGCATGGTCTAGTGGCTGCTGGTCACTAATTGCAATCTTATCTTCTATATCTGAAATTCTGTCCTCACATTGGCTCATTCTGCACCTGCATAAACTTTCAATGGAGTTTTTAATCTCCTGGAAATCTGTTTGCATCTGATTTATGGATTCCGTTTGTTTCCTATGTTGGGATTCCATCATCTTCCTCAGGTCCTCTATTTTTTACCTTCATCCTCTGTAGATTTATTAATCATGTCTTTCAGTATGGGCACAATCTGTGGCATTATCTGAGAAATTATTTCTAATTTCATTTTTTCCAGATCCTTTTATTGTCGCTTCAGAGAGTCCAGGTTGTTGAGTATCAGATTGTTCCATCTTGTTTCCTTTTGGGGTTGTTTTAGGTGATCTTGGATTCTGATTTTGAGATTTGTTTACATGTCTTGTCATTTTAACGGGGTCGGGGGGTGGATATTTGCCTCTGGCACCCTTGTGGCTCACCTCCTCGTTGCTGGGGTTGTGGTAGGGTGGCCCAGATAATTCACCTCCTCTGTGCTGGGGGCAGTTCTGGTCCTCGGAACTGGGGGTGGTGGTACAGGAGCCCAGAGATTTCACCTCCTCTGCATTGGAGGTAACTGTGCTCCTAGGCACTGGGGGTGGTGGTACGGCTGCCCAGATAGTTCACCTTCTCTGGGCTGGGGGCAGCTCTGCTCCTGGTTGCTGGAGCCAGCAGTACAGTCACCCAGAAGGTTCACCTCTTCTGCATTGGGGGCAGCTCTGTTCCTCAGCATTGAGGGCAATGGTGCAGTGGCCCAGACAGTTCACCCACTCTGCGCTGGGGCCAGCTCTGCTCCTCTGCACTGGGGGCGGTGGTATGGTACCCTGGAATGTTCACCCCCTCTATGTTGGAGGCAGCTCTGTTCCTTGACACTGAGGGAGGTGGTATGATGGCCCAGATAGTTCACCTACTCTGCACTGGGTGCAGCTCTGCTCCTTGGCACTGGGGGCAGTGTTATGGTGCCCTGGAAAGTTCACCTACTCTGTGCTGGGGGCAGCTCTCTGCTGCCAACAAAACACAGGAGGGATCTCAAACTTCACTCCATTTTGGCTGGCATGCCATTTCACATTGTCCATGCCTACCTGACCTGTCTGAAGGTGTCAGCATATAGTTGTCACCAGACACCCTCACCTTGGCCCAGCCTGTCCCCTAGCAAAGATGCTGTTACCTTTCTAGGAGAGTGTCTGTCCACAGAGTCAGAGCTGGAAGAGTGCAAAGGTCCATTTGCACTGGAGATCCAAAAGACCCAGTTGAATGCCAGCAGCTCAGTGTAGTGTCCTGTGTGCATCCTTATCACGAGGCCCGAGAGTCTACGATGGAAGGCTGAAGAGTCTAGAAGCCAGGAGATGATGTCCAAGGTGAAGGTGAAGATCCAAAGACACAGAACCATCCTTCCTTCTCCCTCTCTCTCTCTCTCTCTTTTTGTACCCGGGATCAAACTCGGGACCTTGTGCTTGCAAGGCAGGTGGCAGAACCACTGAGCTCAACAAATAATAATTTTGTACTGAAGCAAACAAAAGCTAACTCTAAATTAGTACATTTTATCATAAATAATTATATTAAAGCATGCAAAGAAATAATTTCAAAAGCATAGTTTCAAAAGATCTGCAATAATATACTGTACAATGTCACACTGAAACCATACCTTTCTTCATTATAGCCTGTAGTTGCCGGAGAATACCACACAATGTACTTAGTAGTTTCCAGTGGATTCAGTACAAGTTTCTGGAGTCCACTCAGGGCAGGATTTGTTAATATCACATCTATGTGAATAATTTTGTCTTTTGGATTAGAGATAGGTATTTCAATGCAACTGGTCTCCTAGATTTATAAAACAAACACATAATCAGCCTTTAGTGAAAGCAAGGTCATTGTTCTGTGGAAGAAAATGTACAGAAAATTATTATAAAATATGTCATTTTTCTTTATCCACTGAATATATTTCACCTAAATTTAATCTCCTTATATGTTTTCCTTATTAGTCTTGGTAAACAGTAACACTATTTTCAGCAACACATACTATACAGAGATCCAAGAAACTAAATAGTAAGAATACTATTTGTAAAATTATATTTAAAATATTTTTTCCTCTATTATTACTATGAGGTACATTTTTCAGTATTTCCTTTGGCAGTAATTTGATGATAGCATCATGTCATGAAGTTTACTGATTTTGCTAGATAACTTGACATATTTTATAAAACACTAAGATTTAGCTTTCTAGGCTGTTTATTAGGGTCAAAAAAATCAAGCACTTAAGGGAAGGAATGTGTCAGGATAACAGGATACCATCAATTATGGCCTAGAAATTTTGCCTAAGGTTTAAGATAGAAAATTGAAATAAAAAATTTTGGCCTAAACATTTATCCTGGTATACTACTCAGATATTTTTCAGAAAAGATCATAGTCAGCTCAAGAAAATGCTACAGATTCTTCAGAGGAGCAAAATTAAAAGAGTCTAAACCACTGATTTTCCAACCTGTTTTAATCACAATCCAGAATAATTCCATTGACCCTAGATTTCAATCAACATATACATATAACAAAGGTTTTACAGAACAATCTCTGTTCTTACTATGTGTGATATTCTCTGACACTTTATTATCTTCATTTCTATTGTATTTATTAAAGGTAGTGCTAGTTTTGATACAATCACATTTTTTTTTCTTTTTTGGTACCAGGAATCAAACATCAGGACTCAGGCTTGACAGGCAGATGCTGCGCCACTGAATACAGTGGTTACTGAATACACTGAATACAGTGAATACATCCCCAGCCCTCCACTCACATTTTGAGACTTTAGCATTAATCATTTAGATCTTAGTCCACAGAGGAATAAAATACTGGAATATTAGACTTTTATAGGTCTTATTATCACATGTAAGCTTTTAACACAAAGAAAACTTATGTGAAACCTACTATTTCCTCTGTGAAGCATAATCAACCTAACACAAAACAGTCTTAATGTTACAAAGAAGTTACAATATTCTACGCTTGGTTGGATTTTAAGAGTAGGTAATGGAGATATCAGGTATGAGGCACTTATATTGCAATTCCTCCTTGGCATCCTTACTATATCTCTGGCAAGTAACACTAATTGACTGCTTTGCTGTTTTCCAGAAGGTCTAGACACATCCTCAAAATGCTGCGCAGAGCAGCCTTCAGACAGCAATCTTTGAACACTTGGAGTTACTGGCACTATGATATCTTGAAAATCTCCAGAATCTAATTCTCTGGAGTTTTCAAAATAGCAATAGAATCAACAGAAACAAATGTTTCATTATAGTCAAAAGTTTCCTATTAATGTCCTATATTTTGAATATTTATAGAAAATATTTCAAATGCAACCATATTATAAAAGTAATGGTTTGAATACTATTTTCTTCTAGATGTCAACAGTATGCTAAACATTTACCAACTCCCAACAGTGAATATATTCACTCTGTACCACAGATATGTATTGATAAAACAACAAATAAATCCCATAAGTATCACTTCTAAAATATTATGTTACATAGACAATTTTTATTTTAGATATCTATTTGCCAAAATATTGTTAAAATAACTTAGACAAAATTAATGTTCTAATTATCAATATTTTAAGGCTATAAAATTCGATAATTTACAAGAGCTAATATGTTCAGGAAGGAGAAAAAAGTTTTTTTAGTCATCATTTTATGAGCTGATCAAAATTTATGAATTTATTCTTGAAATATCTCTTTTGTTTGATCTATATAACTCTAGAAATTATAATCATCTGGAACAAATAACAAAAATTAAAACACACAAAGTGAATTACATACACAAAATGACTGTTTTGTTTAAGGTATCCTGCCATATCCCCAATTTCTTGAAAAATAACTTTTACTTGATGAAAGGAAGAGTCAGTTCTATTTATGTGAATATTTTATATAAAAGTTTGAAATACTTGGCTATTATATGCTTTACCAATGGCATATTCCTCTATTTTGATGAGTAGGCTTTTAAGGTTACTTTGCATTTAGAATGAAATGTAATATATAATTTGAGTTTTTTGAAACACAAAACAATGACAACTGCACATGGGAACTTCTAAAGCTGTGTTTCATCTTCACATGGTTTCTTTTACATTCAAAAATAGAAATCCATGCTTTAGAAGGTATCCAGTATCATCCAAAGCTATTTTTGTTCATAAAATTATCACTGTCTAAACTTACCTTGTTCATTCATTTTATTGTAATGTGTACCCTAGATGGACTAAACTTGGTGGAGTGCAATCTGAAGAGTTTCACTCACTACTGCTCTCCAAATCAGCGAAGGATATGCCTTTTCTCTACCTTCCTTTGGTATCTCAGGATGGTTCATGGTGTGGAAGAGTTTCATTTTGAGATATTTCACCTAATCCAAATTTAATCAATACTTTGATTTCCTACCCAATTAAATGCTTTTCCTGGTCTCCTCTGATTGGCATCTCACTCTCACCTTTAGGACTATTTAGTAATTTCTCAGGCCACCTTTGGGGAAGAAGTATACATGACCTGCTTTTTAAAATCCCATTATGTCCCCGGCTTTAACTTGCTCTTCTCTTGCAATAATTTTTTCTAAAATAACTCCTTTGGTTACAAGACACAGAAGAGATGGAAGGTAAGAGACTACAAGCCATTCCTTTTGGGGGGTTGATCTCCAGTTGACTTCTGAGGTTCCATTTTTCTTCCTCTATTTTGCATTAGTCGTAGATTCTTTCACCTGGTGTTTTTGCACATTAAAAGAATGTATCTTTTTAGGTGTACAATATAATGACATTCATCATTGGAAATTTGTGCCTTTACGTATTCTCTCTTGGTTCTTATTTTTCACCCTTGCCCAGCCCTCCCTTCAACCCCTCCAGTCCTCCCGATTTACAAAGATTTTGTTCCTATTTTTCCATTTTCTC